TGGTAATAAACTAAGCACGATTGAGTTGTCGGGGCACGACTGGGCACAATTCCAACAGCTTTGAGCTGTCAAGAATGTGGCGCGTTGCGTTTTCGGCTCAGTTTAGATAACAGCATCAGCCTGGCTAGCGATTGTTAGTATAGCAAAAATCAAACTCCGCATTCTGGGGACCCACACAGGCGGATGGCACTAACTGAAGTTATACAGCCCAGAATCAGAGGGACTGGTGAGTTGCATGTAGCGTGTGAGCTTGCTCGGTACTGCGATTTTCGCAGCTTGAACTAGAAACCAAAAACGAGTGCACATTGCGCAGCCGAGCCGAGTTTCAACAGTTATCGGCAGTATCTCTTCACGGCAATCATGATCGGGAAGTGCAGTACTGTGGTCTCCGTTTGTCAACATCCCTTCCCCACTGCATCAACAAATGATCAAAAACATCCGCCGTTGATTTTTTGTTTTATAATGAAGATTGGTGCTTTTACGAAGATGTTTCGGTGACTTTTTTGATGCAGACTGCTTGTTTTGTCAAGGAGATTTTGTTTCACTTTAAATGACAACACCAGGTTATTACTCTTATAAACATTCGCTAATAGACGAGCAGCTCTCGCTTCATCACAAACAGCGAAAAAAAAAGTTAACTTGCTCAAACAGCAGAATCACTATCTATTCCACGGTCTTTTCAGGTCACTACGTATGCGATGTGAAAGACAGAAGAAAAAATAATTGGCTGCATTTCGACGACCAAATAGTTGAAGAAAAAACGGAAGCAGACGTCCTTTCGGAATGTGTCGAGGATGGCTACATATTTGTATACAGTTCGAGTATCTTTTTGTCTCCAGTTGTCCATTGAATCTTAAATGCAAATGGAAACTAAAAATTTTTCTTTTAGAAAGCGATAATTTTGAATTGTGAACTGGCAGAAGTGCTTTCTCTCCGGGTTAACAGCATGTGTCGCGACAATGTTTGTGACAGATTTTGGTGTAATTATGATTTTCACAATCTGTTCATTCCAATCTTTATCTTTTTTTTTTTAAATCTCCTGAAGATAATGATTACTAATGCGCTGAAAGTTGTTCCGAAAAGAAAACTGCACTAAATTTAGGCTTTGTAATTCTAAGTAGAGTCTTTTATGGAAAAAAGGAATAAGTTTCTGTGGATAGTAAATGAATTCCATTAACAGCGGATATCCTTAAGCTCATGTTACAGAATTGCCTTCTTCCTCTACTGGCTTTGCCAACTCCCAAATGACTTTGCCGGAAGTGCCTTCCTTACAGCAGATTTATTTGTTAAGATGACTTTTAACTTAGCGTTAACTAACTTTTTTTTCTTACTGAGTGCGTTTTA